AATACACTTTAAATGTTGGCATTAGAAAAAAAGTAAAGTAGAATTTTATCCCGTTTTTTTAAATTTTCTGTCTGACATTATTTTCTTTTGTTTTCTCTTTTATCTGGTATGGTGCCCTGGTACTTGAGCATAATATGTGATTAGAGAGGAAAAGTCTAAAATAGTCTGCAAACCTTATTTTGACATCTGCTGTGCAGCTCCTGTCGGGACGGTTTTGTTACCAGCCAGAACAAAAAAGCCTGACCAAGTATGTTGTAGAAAGATCTCAGGACTTTCCAGGGACGGCATTTAGTTTATCTTTTTGTGCCTGAAAAAATAAAGCGGATGAACTAAGACCAATAGTGGACATACACAAATACATGATGAGGGAAACCTGACTAACACCATCTGTGACACAGATCAATCCATGACTGAGTCCCTTTTTGTTAGACAATTCCCAGCTGTTGTGGTTAGAAATGAACCCTGACCATCCCTGACTTCAGGGATAGCCGTGGGTCCGGATGGCTCATGTCAGCCGACTGGCTGAATGACCTCTCACATCAACATCTAACCCCAGACCGGTCACTCCAGATAGAGAAAGCTGAGTTGCCTGAGTACAGGTGTCCCTCAGAGCTGTGTGTTGAGGCCTGCTTTTTTTTGCACCCATGACTATGGATGATGTCACAGTGGTTTGCAAGATGTCTCGAAAGATAAAAGCACCTTTAGAACGTTTCAGCATCTGGAAACATAGTGCTCTGACAACAACTCTTCACTTTTAATCTATTTAATAAAGGTATTGTTTTATTCTGTTGAACCAACCTATGGGCGGCACGGTGGTGTGGTGGTTAGCACTGTCGCCTCCAAGCAAGAGGGTTCTGGGTTCGAATCCCGGGTGAACCAGGACCTTTCTGGGTGGAGTTTGCATGTTCTCCCTGTGTCTGCGTGGGTTCTCTCTGGCTTCCTCCTCCCACAGTCCAAAAACCTGCATGTTAGGTTGATTGGAGATTGGGGAAATTGCCCTTACGAGTGAATGTGAGTGTGAGTGGTTGTTTGTCCTTGTATGTCCTGTGTGTGGCCCTGCAATGGACTGGCGGACTGTCCAGGGTGTCCCTGCCTCTCGCCCGTTGACCACTGGGATAGGCTCCAGTTCCCCCCGCGACCCCATCAGGGAATAAGTGGTATTGATAATGGATGGATGGAACCAACCTATTCTTAATTTTCTGCGATCCCTTTAAAGCCGGATCCAAGAATAAAACAAAACAGAAAATTACTTTTTTTTGGTTTGAATTCCTTATTTGGCCTTTTAACTAAATATGTAAAAAGAAAAGACAGAAATACATTTTTAATATTAATAATTTATTGCTATCCGATAAATTAAGATTATTTTTCGTGTAGTCTTCTGCCCCCTGATATCAGGTGTATCTGATGGTCTAAAATAGGATTTTGAGCAAACTTTTTCCATTAAATTATGCAAAAGGTGTCAGACGCAAAACATTTCAGAAACCGTATGAATCAAATATGATACATTTGGCATTACAGGGTTAAAGCATTGTCTTTAACGGAAAGCATTTTGAATTGTCTTGTATATGAACTGTGCTATGCAAACACACTTGCCCTGCCTTGCCCCATCACAACACCTTTGCCTCCACCTTTGGAAGATCCCACAAAGACTTCACTGGCTTCTAAAATGTGCCATGCAAAGCCTGACGTCTGGCCCCGTGGAGTGGTTCGGTAACTGTGCTTTTGCTGACCAGATAACTCCGTACACCAGCCCCTTAAGTGCTGATGAGCACAGCACTGGTGTTAAATTACTCCATCATAAATTCACCATTTAGTGTAATGAACATTCACCTTCCAGATCCAACCCTCAGGATTCCCCGGGCACAATAACTCAGCTGAAGTCGAACGTGCTTTTAAGCAAAATGCACTGACACTGTGCAGAGCCACATTATCAATGAGCAGAGATATATATTTTAAATATATTTGCAAAATGTTTTCATTCTATTCTTTTAACAGACTAAGTGATCTCGGTAGGTTTCAGATTGATTTGGTTTCTCTATAGACTGGCAGCTCAAAAAGGTCAGATTGTTTTTTTCTTTTCCAAACCTACTTTAAGACCCTGTACGGATGGCAAGAGACCTGCGTACCTGTTGACTTTGTGTTGTACTGTTGCCTGTTTCTTCCTCCGGGCCTTGAGCACATTATTCTGGTTTGAGAGAGCACATGGCAACCTGAAAGCTGAGGTCACACAACGGACAAAGGACTCTTATCATTCCCTGGAGCACATCTGACCCATAAAATCTGTATTTCTTTGTCTCTCTGTTCATTTGTCTTTTGTTTTCAGCATTTAACATAAATTATTTGCAATAATCCCTCTATACTTAACAGTGTTGTGCTGACGAAGCATTCAATGCCAATTGGTGAATCAGATTTTTTTCTTTATTGCTGGTAAATGATTAAAGAGCTCAACTAGAAGCAGGCAAATTTATTTGTGTTGCACTTTTCGCGTTCAAGACAATTCAAAGTGCTTTACATAAAAGATTAAAAAAGAAAAATGCATTCAAAAGTGAGAGTTTAAAAGTAGAAATAAGAATAAGTTAAACAAAACAAGGGCGACACAGTGGTAAGCAAGCGGGTTACGAGTTCTAATTCCTGGCGTACTGGGTCCTTTATGTGTGGAGTCTGCCTGTTTTCCCTGTAGTCGATGGTCGTTCTCTCCGAGTGATCCGGCTTCCTCCTGCCATCTAACAGCATGCCAGTTAGCCTGACTGGACGCTCTAAAATGCCTCGAGGAGTAAATGTGAGTGTGTGTGGTTGGTTATCTCTGTGTGGCCCTGCGATAAGCTGGGGACCTGTCCAGGGTTGACCCCACCTCTCACCTGTTGTCAGCTGGGATAGGCTCCAGCCCCCCTAAAACCCCACTGGGAATAAGTGGTTTGGAAAAAGGATGGATGGAAAATAAAACAAATTAAATAAAAGTAAAAACTTAAATTGATCAAAAGTGAATGCCCTCAGCTGTCACATCACAGCTGAACAGAACTTCAGCTTGTTTGGTTCTGACCCTTCAGGTGACCCGAACCTGAGGTTCTCAGAGTCCAGGAGGTTCACATGGTTCTAAAGAAAATAATATTTCCATTAGGTGATAAAATATTAAAGAAATCACCTGTAGACCAAAAAGAGGACAGTTAAGTGAATCTGATAACTACTGGTGAATTCTAATATTCTAATATTTAAAATCAAACTAAAGCAACAACAACTCAATTTATTATTCATGATGTAAAGTGAAAATAATATAAGACTTGGTGGTTATTAGAAAATTGTCCAAACAGTCAATGCAAATTTCATGCAAATCTGAATGTCTCACTGACACTTTATTTCTGTTAACCTCAAAACAAAATTCTATCCCTTTTGATATTCTTCACACAGGCTTTTTTCTCCTTATACAATATGTTGTCTGTGCCAGTGTGTGTGTGTTTTTGCTTGTGTGTGGATGCAGACATTGTCTCATTAGTTCACACACAAGCACACACATATATGTATATATATATATATATATATATATATATATATATATATATATATAT